AAAAAAAAACGCAAGAAACCTTGTAGGCGTGCGGAGTGCGGTTGATTCACAAACAACCCGGGTCTCGAATGCAGCATGTGCCCCTCAGGCGTAGTGCACGCCGTCAGTGACAAGCTATGCTCCGCATGCCATTGGTCGGAGGGCCTTGCTGGCTTCACGCACCTCAGAGGGCCACGGCTTGAACGAGCGGCACGGTTGTTTTTGGCCGAGTACCAAGAAGGAGAGGGGGAGCTGCCTCTACCTCTCGTGCGAGGATTTTTTCCCAGCAACGACTGCATTTGCCAACGCCGAGATTGTTTTTACGGTTTTCTTCTCGAGAGGGAAGCAAAGCCGGAGCTCCGAACATGTAGCGTGTGCAAGAGAGGGTACCCTGTTGTTAGATATATTCGCAGCAGTATCTGGTCGTGAGGATCCCAGGGGGACACGTGTAAGGAGTTTCGTGTGTTGAAGGGTACCACCGGCGCAGTCACGGGGACCCTTTGGGCGTGGTCGGTGCGATGATGAGGAATGCTTGCGTGCGTGCTGCGCACTTCTTCTTCTTCTTCTTCTTTTTCTTCTTCTTCTTCTTGTTCTTCCCTCTCTCTCCACCACCACCACCGTCTCTCTCCAATCAAGTTTCCTTCTCCCACTCTCTCTCAACCTCTCTCTCAACCTCTCCCTCTCGGCCTAACACGGCCGACTACCCAGTGCCCCAAAGCAACGTCCAGAACGTGCTTGCTGCACCCCGTGTAGTTTACCTTTCACACTAGTGCGACGATATCACGGTATCTGCGCGCGGGCGTAGTCTTCCGGGGGTTGTGCAGTCACGCGCAATCGGTAGGCTCCCACAACAACATAAACCATGGAGGGCATCGACCTCTCCGCCCTCAGCGGGGAAGAGCTACAACAAAAAGTGGAGGAGATTGTCCAGCAACGAGTACAAGCCGAACTTGAAGCCAACAGGATCAACGAGGGTGAAGTTATCTACGCCCAACCACCATCAGCCGGCAACCCAGTCCCACCTACCGGCAACNCCAACAGGATAAACGAGGGTGAAGTCACCTACGCCCCACCACCTGCCGGCAACCCGGTCCCACCTACCGGCAGCCAGCCATCACCCTCCAGCCAGGGTAAAACACCTTCCTTCAACGACCCCAGCAGCGTCGCACACATCGTGGCGCAAGCGGCCAAGGCAACAGCTGAGGCCATCGCTGAACAACAGGGCTTTGCCCGCTCAGGCACGTTACGTGTCAATCCTGGCTCAGAAATACAACCTTGGCTTGGTAGCGCGAAGAATGAGCAGGATTTGTATATTATGTTTGATATTTTTCGAAGATGATTTCATATTTTCAGGAGGAGGGTGTGCATGATGTGTTGGAACTGGAGGTCGAGGTCAAGGTCGGAAAAAGGGGTGTGAATAAAGAAGACCTTCGGAGACTTTTTGGGAATGAAGTGGTAGACAAGTCATTCAAACTGTGGAATATCCTGATCAGCAAGGTTTTGACTTCCGTCATCCAGTCCACCGGCCGCGTCGTCTACACCAACAACCGTGTCGTGGGTGAAGTCGGCGCCAGCCGGTGAGGGGGGTTCCGCTCGTATCACCGCTGCGCCGACACCCCCCGTGTTCACGCCGCCGGTCGTCTCGATCAACTTTGGCCCAGCACCGACGCCTTCGACCGCAGCACTGCCGCCGCCAGCGCCCACGCCATCGCCCGCTCCCGCTCCCGCTGTCGCTTCGCCCCCTGCCGCAACGCCGCCGCCAGCGAACACGCCGCCGCCCGCTCCCACGCCTTCACAACCGCCCTCTGCCACTTCGCCGTCATCTTCGGCGACCCGCGCTCCTGGCCAGCCGTCCTCTGCCTCTTCGCTGTCACCGTCGGCGACCCCAGATCCAGGCAAGCCGCCGGACCCCGCAATGCCCCCGCTTACGGCTCACGCCATGCGGCAGCTTCGCCCGGGTACAAAGGTCGAGGGCATGACAGACCCGCGGCTGCCCAGCCGTACGAGATCGGGCAGAAGGCACAGCACAGGACTCATCTCGATGCTAGACAAGAATACTCTGGTGTCGATGCTGGAGGCTCGGGGCGCGGTGGACGAGGAGCGCAGGGAGCTGGGGGGGGCGGAGGCCGGAGAGCCGGGGGGAGCGGGGACCGGAGGGCAGGCGGGAGCACTCGCAGCTGTGGACCCGGGGGGCTGGAGGAGCGGGCTTTCCACTCGCATTTGCCACGCTGCGAAACCAGCGCCCGCCAGAGCAACGCCCTGACCTTCCTTACTGCCAGGCCAGCGACCTTCGTGTCCCCAAGAGCTACAAAGAGGCCATGGCGTCGGAGCACCGGCACCTTTGGAGCGACTCTATGCAATGGAAAGTTTATGGCTTGTTGGAAGCGGGGATATTACTCCGGCGAAGTAGCAATTAGTGGAGAACGCAATTAACGCTAAGTGGGTATTCGATTGGAAGGCAGATAAGTTTGGATGGCCCACTAAGGTTAAGTCGAGACTTGTAGCGAGAGGTGATATGCAGAGAGAGTACGTTGACTTTGGAGAGTTGTACGCGCCTACCGTTTCTGTTTCGTGTGTTAGGCTGCTTTGGCGTGCGAGTTGTGTCATTTTGATATTGAGCAAGCTTTTGTGCATTCGGAGTTGGAGGAAGACGTGCACATG